TTCTGGCCACGATGCACATACATACATGCAGGCAAAACACTCATACACATAAAATAAAATTGGTTAATTAATTCAAAAGGGAGCTCTTCGATGTTGAGGTTGTCCTCGGGGCTTCTGCAGCCTTTCCTGGATCTCTCACTTCCACTAGCTTTTTTAATTTATGTTTATGTGTCTGCAAAGCCCAAAGAGGCCAGAAGAGGGCATCAGATCCCCAGAAACTGAAGTTACCAATCATTGTTACCTGCCATGCTGGTAACTGGGGTTCTCTGAAGAGCAGCCAGTGCTCTTAACCAGAGTCATCTCTCCAGCCCGACACTCCTTGTGCGTGCGTGTGTGTGTGTGTGTGTGTGTGTGTGTGTGTGTGTGTAGTACTGGAGATTGAATCTACAGCCTTAAGGTCCGTGCTCTCCCACTTAAGGTCAGTGCTTTACCATCGAGTCAAGCCCTCACCCTCTACCTGGGGGCGGGGTGGACTTTGACTGGTTCTCTACCACAGAGCCATACACACCCCAGCCTCTCACTGGAGGATTCTAGGCTCACTTTCTTCCACTGACCCATAATCCTAGACCCTTACTGGGGGATTATACACTAGCTGTCTATCACTGTCCCATGCCCCAGGCCCTCACTGGATGATTCTAGGGAGCGGTTTTACAGATAAACCATGTCTCTGTCCTTTCCTGTTTATCTGGAGAGTTACTGAGAACTAGTACCATCCTCTAAGCCCCACAGACAGCAGAGACTCCATGATATGAGGCCACAGGAAGGATTCAGTGGGCACAATATTTTCCTGGCCACTGACTACTGAATCAAATTGGAATGGATGCTATGCTTATGCTCTTAACCCCTTGTTTATTTACAAGGGAAAACAGGATGTCATGGGTCCATAGGCACTGGAGGACACATTACGAATGGTGCCAAATCCAAAATGTAAGACATTCCACAGGGGAGGAAAAGAACCCAAAAAAAAACGTAGCAAGTAATAAAAAATGTGATGTTTGAGCTAAAAAGAGGAGGCAAGTGAGGAGCAGCAGATGCAAAGGCCCTGGGGTAGGAACAACGTGTGACGGGTTCAAGGAAGGTCAGCAATTCCCCCAGACAAGCTTACCCACAGGACACGGAGAGCCACTGTGGAAATTTTATTCTTGTAGGTGGTTTTGAAGATTTCTGGGGTTTTGTTTTGTTTTTGAGACAAAGTCTCCTGGTAGTCCCAGTTGGCCTGGAACTCAGAGATCTGCCTGCCTCTGCCTTCTGAGTGCTGGGGTTAAAGGCATGTGCCACCACATCCTGTTGAAGATTTCTGTTTAATATATGTGAAGGTTTTAACAAAATGTCAGCCACAGAAATGTTAGCCACAGAAGCCAACAAATATTTGTAGACTCAGTATCTGTGCCTGTGTGTGTTCAGTAAGAAGTAGAAGTGGCCTGGTGTAGTGGAGCAGAGGAAGGTGGATCTCTGTGAGATTGAGGCCAGCCTGGTCTACATAGCAAGCTCCAAGCCAGCTGGGGCTACAAGGAGATGCTCCTTAAAATAGATAGATAGATTAGATAGATAGATAGATAGATAGATAGATAGATAGATAGATAGATAGATAGATAGATAGATAGATAGATAGATAGATAGATAGATAGATAGATAGATAGATAGATAGATAGATAGAAGATAGATGATGATAGATAGATAATAGATATATATAAACAAACAAATGTGAGTGAATGAATAAATAATAAATAAATAAAGGTGGCTGTAGTTTAAGCAACCAGAGTTTTTTTGTTTCGGCTGGATAACCCTCAACCCACTTCCCAGGCTTCTCTCATAATTAAGGTCACCCAAGCAGTAGTTAGAATCTGGAATGATCAAAGAAACCGAAAAAAATGAATCGCAGCGCCCTCTGGTACTCGCCTTGTTTGACTAACATAAGTGATCTTAGAAACTGCACTAAGGATCAGTTGAGTTTAATTTTTTATGTTTGAGACAGGGTCTAGGCTGGCCTCGAACTCACAGACGTCTACCAGCCTTTGCCTCCCGGGGTCTAGGACTAAATGCATGCGCCACCACGCCCAGCATATTTAAGTTTAAATTTTGCAGCTTAGAATTACTTCCCACGCCGGGCGTGGTGGCACAGGCCTGTGATCTCAGCGCTTGAGAGTCTTGAGGCAGGAGGCTACAGAGCACCAGCCTGGGCTACAATCAAGACCCTGTCTCAAATGGGAAGGGGGAAAAATATCTCTCTCCTTCCGTAATAACCAATCCTGTCAGCCCTGAATGCAAGATAGGTGGTCTCAGGGGTCTGCGACGACCCACTTTCTCTTCTACACTGCCTGCCATTCGCTCCACAAATTCCATTAATCTCCCTGTTCTGGAATTGGGGAGCTCAGCGGAATCCAACACGTGGAAACCTAGGGGCTCGTGTTTGCAATTTTTCTGGGAAGCATCTTTAAATTCTCATACATTCACCAAAGGATCTAGGAACTCAAAATCAAGAGCATCCACTTTGCTTTGTCTGCACTCCGGGTCCTCCTTGGATGGTCCACATACCCAGACTGGGCCCAAAATAAGTAAACGGTGCTGCTCCGCTCGGCTTCTGCAAGCGCTGCTTCCTCCCCCATCGCATCACACCAGGACCATGCTGGTCTGCCCCTGCTCAGTACCCTTCTCGGTGTCCCATGGCCTCAGTGGTAACCAAAACCTTCATCCAGCCTACAAGGTCCAACATAGTTCTCAGATCTTTTTTTCTACTTAAATTGTTTACTTATTTGCTTATTTAGAGTGTTTTGCCTGCATGTATGTCATGTGCCTGCACTGCCCACAGAGGTCAGAAGAGGGCATCGGATCTCCTGGAACTGGGGTTAAGGACTGTTACTACCGTGTGGGTGCTGAGAATTGAACCTGGGTCCTCCGCAGGAGCAGCCAGTGTTCTTAACCACTGAGCCATCTCTCCAACCCCCTTCTCAGACCTTTCTCAGATTGTTTACTTCGGGGCTAGGGATGGAACCCAGGGCCTCCCGTAATGCTAGACAAGCACTCGAGGGCTGAGACTGCAGTTCGAGCACTCTAGTCACTGGTCGGCAAACACCTTTCCATCTGGTTCCCCACCTGACAGCCTTCCATGTTTTGTTTTGTTTTTTTTCCTTTGCAACCACACACCTGTCCACTCCTTCTACTCACACCACTTCCATGAAGCCTTCCCTGACCACCTCCAGACAGAATCCTATCCTCCTAGCCCCTTTGCCTGGCTGAGGTGTCTGTCGTCCCC